GATTGCAATTAGTCCTCCCTTCAGTCTGCAAGTATATGCCTCACAGATGCCTCTGCCCCAAGAAAAGTACAGGGTGCGTAAAGGACATCTGAAGCTGGGAAACACTTACAGTGTGATCAGGGGAGCTGGGTGGCATGATGCTCACTCTGCCCACTCATGCTAGAAATACTTCAGGGGAGAATCATGCAAGCAACAACAGCTCAGGGACAGGCTACAGATGGCCTTGACAATGGTGCCCACTAGGGCACTTTGTACAGACTGGGGACAGTGTCTGTAGATCAGACTCACCATATCTTTGCTGGTCAACGCTTTGGGATCGTTTATATTATTTTTCAGTAAGTTGCATGCAGACAACATCTTTTCACTTAACTCATACCTAATAGAGGAGAAAAAATAAAGAGAGCTCATAATTGATCAAAAAAAGAAAGTTGCTTATATCTCAAACCCTATAACCCTTTAAGCCAGCCTAAGCAGCTTGTGATGGTGCAAGGTGCTTGGCTGGAGGTAGCGTATGTGTTCCTAGGCCGTCCTAGGATTGATGCCACCATACAGAGCCAACACCTCCAGCCAGAGCTCAGGGTCTTTTCATGAGGATAGCTTCCGGCTTCCCTAGTTTGGCCTTTATGACATTATGGAATAACATTTAGAGATTGTTTTGCTCCTATTCTAAGTTCTTAAGGATATTTTTACCTTTAAGGAGCTGAAGAGGTCTGAATTACCACATATCCGTTATGCTGCCGAGTAAACTACACATCTGAAGTGTTTAACCCATATGAAAAATTAAACTTAAAAATCAGATAACATATAGTATATAAATTATATCTCAATAAAGGTGTTAACAAAACCAGATAATATATTGAGCTATTTGAAAACACTTAGAAATATAAACTAAAAACACTTACCTTGTGTTAATGAGGTTAAACTTTCATTTGCCAAATTAAATAGAAGTAAGTTTTCTGAAATGCTCTATGTATATTTCACACAGTGAAAAACCATACTGAAATTTCCATCTTTTCTATTCTATTCTTTCCTGTTTTATGAGCATCAAATCCATATTTGCTAACAAACTTTAACACTTACTACATTTTCAGGCACCTGTTTCAGCCAACGAGAGTATTTGATATTTTATTTTAGCCGCTATTTATGATATTTTTGAATCCATCCTTGGTGTGTTCCTCTTCACTAAATGAGCAACAAAATACAGACACGTGACATCATCTTCACAGCAAATGTGATCTTTGGTTGAGGCCAACCAACTATTCCTCATGCACACAATGACCCTTTAATAATAGTATTGACACCTGCATCAAGATAAATGGCTAAAGATAAAACCTGAAATCCTAAAGTGTGCTGGTCACCAAAAATTCATATATGTCTAAATATAACCTGAAGTGTTCAAAAATGGGAGTTTTAGTGGATGGTGGTTCCACATGTAAAATTAGTTAAAAGTTTCAGAAAACAAAGGTGACTAGATATCTAGCTATTCTCTCTAGTCACCAGAAGAGATCTAGGAGTTACCACACTCTGCACTTGTATTTGTTAGTTATCTTGACAAGATGTGCATACCTCTGATGAACAGATAAGACCAAAGAAATGGGTATAATTGCAAAATCTCCGAACTGGCCAACTCTACCGCCAGAGTACATTAAGCATAGGAGGGGTCAGGGGAGGGAAGGGGAATGTACCACACCTCTCTCTGATTTCCACCTTCTCAGGTTCACATTCTTGAACCTGCATTTCATCTTCCACCCTGGTGGACTTGAAACCTTCAATATTAACTGCATGGTGCCCTTCTGCCACTCCCCGAGTGTCTTCGTCCTCTTCTTCATCCTCCTCTTCAAGAGGACACTCAATGACATCACACTCGTCATCTGACTCGGAAGAAGAGCTTTCATCTGAGCTGGAATCATCACTTGAAGTTGTTTCATACCTAGGTGGCAATCGGGATTTCAGGAGATGCAAGGTGTGCCCATAAAGACCCAGTGACAGAAATTTCTATGAAGGGAAAGCAGGTAAATGACTCCAGAAATTTTACCAGTGGTTTTAGATCCTGCACGAAGAAGTTCAAAGTAAGGTCTATTTAAGTGTCTGGTGGTTTTAAATGGGTTCTGAATTAAAAGGGATAATCTGGGTTGCCAACTGGTCCCATAGGCCTCTAGTTAAAAAAAAAA